GAACCATCTATAGCTGAAAAATCAACTACAAAGCCATTTTCTAAAGCAAAGAGAGCAACTGATCTTCAAGATGTAATACATTCCGACATTTGTGGTCCATTTAATGAGAGGGCCCATAACGGTTCCCTTTATTTTATCATACTTATCGATGATTATTCTCGCTACGGGTATGTATACCTAATCTCGCATTAATCGTAAGCAATAGATTGCTTTCATTGTTTTATGCTAGAGGTTGAAAATCAGTTGAACAGAAGAATTAAGGTTCTTCGCATTGATCGAGGGCGAGAATACTTATCTGATCCATTTAAGAAGCTTTATGAGAATAAGGGAATCTGAAGACAAAAGACGATGTCCTGCACTCCGCAGCAAAATAGTGTTACAGAAAGAAGGAATCGTACTTTATTGTACATGGTGAGGTCTATGATGGCTCACGCCAACCTCCTAATATCATTTTGAGAAGATGCACTTCTTATTGTTATGTATATCCTAAACAAAGTGTCATCAAAATTCATTCACAACACCCCTTATGAGTTATGGATAGGTAGAAAGCCAGATCTTTCTCATTTACATCCTTGGGGGTCAGCTACCCATGTTCACTTCCCTTCTCTATTGACAAGGAAACTAGATAGGCAGTCTCTCAAGTTCATTTTTGTTAGATATTCTAAGTACTTGAAGGAATATGTGTTCTTTCAAGAACGTGATGGTGGCGGGATGAAGGAAATAGAATCTCACGCTGTAGATTTTATAGAGATGAAATTCTCTAATAGGAAGCGGCCTCGTATGTTTGAAGAGCCTGAAGCTCCGACAGACATTTAGATACTTCCTTTACGTGACGATAATAGTGGGATTTTTCTCATGATTGTCAATGATAGTGGGAGTGAGCTACTGGTTGAGAATGAACATATGACTCATATTGAGTCACTAACCATGCTAAAGACACCTATTGATACTGAATCGTAGGTCGAACTTCGAAGAAGTCAATATGGGAAAGGTCCTCGTAGGCACTTCGAAGTAGAGGGTCTCACATGCATTTCACTTGATGCTGATGAGTCTAGCTCATTCAAAGATGTCTTGAATTCTCCTGCTATGAATCAATGGATGTCTGCTATGAAAGACGAGCTTAGTTTTATGGAGCACAATCAAGTCTGGGAACTTGTGAATCTGCCACCTCATAGAAGATCAATTGGAAACAAGTGGGTCTTGAAAATCAAGAGGAAGGTAGATGAAACTATAGATAAGTATAAAACCTGCTTAGTGACGAAATGGTTCATCCAAATTGAGGGAGTGGACTACGATAAGACATTGTCCCCGGTGGTGAGAATGACCTCGATTCACTTAATCTTAGCAATCTTCACACATATGGACCTGGAACTCTTCCAAATGGATATGAAGACTGCCTTTCTTAGTGGTAACTTGATATAAAAGATCTATATAGAGCAACCTAAAGGTTTGTAACATCTGACCTTGAGCGCAAAGTGTGCAAATTCAAGAAGTCCATATATGGTCTCAAACAGTCATCAAGACATTGATATATCAAATTCCATAAGACTATAATGACGTATGGTTTTGAAATGCTTCAAGAAGACCATTGTGTATACACTAAGAAGTATAAGAAAAACATTCAGATACTGTATTTGTATGTTGACGATATTTTATTAGCTGTGAATGATCTAGAGCAACTTGTTGCATTGAAAGAGTGATTGTCCTCCAAATTTGAGATGAATGATGGTGATGCGAGTTACATCCTTGGTGTTAAGATACATCGAAATCCCTCTCAATGGTTTCTTACTATGTCACAAGAAACATTTATCCAAAGGATTTTTGAGCAATTCGTATACAAGACTCGAAACCCGTAGATATCCAGTTGAGAAATGACATACTATAAGTCTTGACATGTGTCTTCATACAAAAGCTAAGAGGAACAAAATGTCACGCGTTCTATATGCAAGTGCAGTTGATAGTTTGATGTACGCGATGCTCTGCACACGTCCAGATATTGCCTATGTGATGGGTCTCATTAGTCGATACCAGAGTAATCCATGACAAGGTCATTGGCAAGAAGTGAAGAGGATTTTTCGATACCTTTGGGGAACCTCGAATCAGATGCTATGTTTCCAAGGAACCGTTTTGCAGTTACGGGGATATAGTGATGTTGATTGCTAGCAGACCTAGATAAACATAAATCGACTTTAGGTTATATCTTTTTGCTAGGAGGCGACACAGTCTCATGATGTAATAAGAAGCAGTTGTGTGTCGCTCTCTCCACTATGGAGTCTGAATACAATGCTTATAATGAAGCAGTATAAGAAGCCATATGGTTGAGAAGATTCCTAAGGAACTTGGGTGTTGTTGCGACTGGTAATGAGCCTGTCACTGTATTTTATGATAATACAGCGGCACTTGCTTTTGCAAAAGACCCAAAGTATCATGGAAAGTCAAAACATATTGATGTTAGATATTACTATATTCGAGGTATTGTTGCATATAGACAAATGATGTTAACTCATATTCGTACAACTAAAATGGTGACGGATTCCTTGACTAAGGTAATTGTCAGGGCCGTACATCTAACTCATGTAATAACTATGGGCCGCAGGACCCTATCAGTTTATGTTACACTATAGGATATTGATACTCTATTATAATTAAATATGAATGTTATTTTATATTATAATGGATGGTCTGTGCATTTTAATACACACGGGCGCACAATAGTGTGAGATTATCATTTAATTCATCGGCAGATCAAAAATCACTACTTGCATGAGCTACCCTCAATATTTAGGATATTGAAGGATTAAATATACACATGGTGTATATATCGCATAAACCAATGGTTCGAGATGAGATTCCATAAAGGAATTGACATGATCAATTCAAATTTACATCCCGAAGATCATGTATCCTGTAAGTAGCCAGGGATGAACATCAGGAATGTTCAAGTTGACGCATGGATGTGACTATGGGGCGCTAGGTGGCGACCTGTTGCATGGTTGCGAAAAGACTATAAATTGCATGGTGTGGATTCCGACGCACATTTGATGTGATCCACCATAACATGTGATTCATACCACACGTGTTACATTAGTGAACAAAACACCAACTCGTGTGGAAAATAGATGATCAAGTTCATTTTTGCCACTATGCGAAGCTAATAAGTAAGTGACCCATGATGCCCTCATAGACTTTAAACTGCATTAGGAAATTTTACTTCGATCATTCACTTTGGCATGTACTCCTCAGGTCAAGTATGAGACTCGTCTAGGACATTGCTGAGACAATAGTCGGGGTCAGAGTAGAATAATGTATATTGTAAAAGAATACAATTTATATCACGCTATGTTTTGATACCACAAGAAAACATTACACATTATGCATGCATTGAAAGTAATTATATACGAATGGGCTCATGAGGGATTATTTGAAAACTTAAACCGATGCGATCAAATCGGGTCTAGGGTAGGTGGAGTAGTTTTTGTTTTGCAGGTATTGGAGAGATGAGGTGTTTCGTGCCAGTTAGTTGGAAACTTGGTATGGTTCTCTCTAACAGAATGTTTGCTCCAGTAGGTCACTCACCATATTTTCCCTTTGTGTGAAAGAATATGTACGTTGCGATAACAAACGACAACTCTTATTTGGGCATGTATCCCTCCCACATAAGAGACGAGTGGGAAATGTAAACATGATGGTACATCCCTAGTGTGAGGGTATATCCAATTGGACCATACCCCTTCACGTTTAACTTATGTTACTACATAAAAGGAGGTAGGGAGATGTTGCATCTCTTCATGAGGGGGTCACCCTCTCATGAATGACATTCATTATGCACCATAAGGATGCCCATTCATGAGAAGGTTACTCCCACATGAATCAAATGACAATTTCTCTCATTATAAAAAGGGGAGGGGTAGAGGTCTCTACACACAACAACGCACACGAGAAAGGTGCGAGAGGTATGAGAGCTCTTATTGAGAGAGAGTGTGTGAGTACAATATATCTTTCATTCAAGTTCTAAAGATAAAAACAACCTTGAGAGATAGAGTTGTGCGTGAGAGTCGAGCTCGGATTGGTCCTTAGTCGCACTTGTTGGAATATTTGTGAACTTTCACTTTGTTCGGGATTTGCGGTTTGGAATAAATTTCGGTAGCTCTAGTAGTTGTCGGACGTGCCTATCTGAGTTGATCATTCGTTTCCATATTCGTTCACCAAAATTGTTTTGCAAGCATTCGAATATGATACTTAGTTCTCGATTGATTATTTTGCTTCCACTTCGTTCGTTGGACCATATTTTCCCAACAATTATATTTTTAACTTCTTTCCTATTAATTTTCATGACTTCATTCATAAAAGTTATCATCTATTGAATTAATTGATGTGAGTAGTAGTGATAGATGTGCGTGTAGGCTAATGTTTATCGCGTCCTAGGTCTATAAATAGAATATTGTTTAAGGCATTGGTACGAGGACAAGGTGGGGCATTCCAATGAGGTTTGTGAGAAGTAGAGAGCGAGAGTGCGAGGTAAATCCTAGAGAGAGAAGGATATTGTGTGTGGGGCATCATCTTTGCGAGAGAGGGCGTATTGTGCGATTGTGGAAAACGAGAGATAGGACCAGTTTAAGAAAAATTGAAAAAATCGGAATGGTTAACGGGGCATGGGTTAGAAGCGGTTCAACCGGTCCAATGGGCAAGTCCCAGACCATCAAATTAAAAAATGATAAAACGAAACACCTCCAAATAAAGTTGAAAATTAATTAAAAAATAGGTTTTAAAGAATCATGTCTACAGGTATTTTTTGAAAATTTTAGAAATAAAAAATACCAAAACATTTTTAAATCTAAGCCAAAATGATAAACAAAAAAAAAATTTAAAATACATTCCAAACAAAATCTTAATTTTTTTGAGACTTTATAAAAAAAATTAATATTTTTTCAAATACCCGGCCCATCCACCAAAACCCAAACCGGTAAGTGGGTGGATCCAATTTAACCAAGCGGTTAGTGATTTTTCCTGCACTGGATAGGACGATGCTTGAGTGAGAGTGGGATTTTGATTGCGTGCTTTGAAACCCCTCTCGCTCGCTCTTTCTTCGACTTTCTCTCTCATCAGACCGCAAAGCATGTGGTTGGAGCTTTCATCTAAAGCAGTTGCACCAACTGTTGCCTCTGCTCTTCCATTCTCTCCCAGACCCCAACCATGCCATCTGCTTAGCGTTCTACCTGTAGTGACCTCAGCTGAGAGGCCATGGCGCAGTTGCAGTGCGGTGAGGTGCGGTGAGGTCAACAATGGAGCAGTGGGTTTAAACCTAATGACTTGCAGGCAGTGTAAATCCCAATTTGATCCATCCCGCAACCACTCTCGTGCTTGCCGTTTTCACACTGCACATTTTGGAGGTAATACCTATGCCCCATCTCTCCCTTTTTATAGCTTGCCTGCATAATTAAAATTTGCAATTTGTGATTGTTTCTCTGTCAGTTTTCAGAGGACTTAGCATCTCCTGGTAGTTGGGGCAATAGTTTTATATGTTATAGCATTCTTAAGTAACTATGTTCAGTATTATCAGAAAAGAGTCTCCTTGTATGTTGGTTTATTAATTGTAATCCATCGGTAGTTTGCCTTGAATTTGAGTGGGACTTACCAGAAAATAAAAAAAAGCTTCGTTGCAAGTTATATGTCCATGGTATGTTATTCTGCAGTTTTACAGTCGTTCTAATGGTGTTCATGAAACAATTTGTGGTACATAATTTGTTGACTTTTTTTGGCTTATAGGGATTCGTTTCTCCTAATACATGTTTTTGTTCTGTCATTAGTGCAACTTTCGTTCATTTTTTTCCTCTTATGATGAATGGGCTGCTACCGTTGTTTTATTACACTCATTTTGGTTTTAAGTTCTCAATTTTGATTTTCTATTTTGTTGGAAGTTGTGATTATTTTAATGGTTGAAGAGTTTTAGTTGTCATTTTTTCATGGGTGAATACAGGAAATCTTTGTGATAGCCTTCAAATATATTTCCATCTTTAATTATGAAATTTAAAGCTTCAAAAATAGTGTAGATTGAGCAGATCTATGAAAACTTAAAAATCTTAAAAATTGACGGTCCAAAAAATAGTTACAATATGTACTATTTCTAAAACTTGAAATTCATTTTTTTCTCATGTCCATGCATATTGATGTTTAGATTATCAATTTGAGGATATTTAGGCATCAAAACAACCTCTTCTAGTGAAATTTTTGTAGTGGGCTCTAACTCGATTGTTTAGAGCCTCGGCTCTCAATAAACTTTTTCGTTTTTTCTTTAACAAATATTGGTTACACCATTTATCTATGAGTTGATTAACGGTTGTTAGGTGGATCAAATCCAGTACAAAAACAGGCCCTAGGTTTAGAGTTAAGACAGCCTTAGGAAAAACTGTGACAAATGCGAATGAATAAGAGGGTCTTCTCTTGTCACCCAAGTGACACCTTTCTTAAATCTAGTGCCCAAGCTTTTATAGTTGCAGTGTTGAAAATGAGCATCGGTAAAAGCGAACCATACGTGATGGATTTGGGTGAGTTGTGGAAATGTAGCCTTATCAAATCCAGGGGTGAACCACCCGAAACCCCCCCCCCACCACCACCAAACTTATTCATGTCTCCTTCACTCATTATAGCCAGGAATTAAAAGAATTGGATGCTACCACACACGATTAAAATCTTGTACCGGTGACTCAAAGCTATTCAGCTTGAAGTTTGGGGCTTTCTTTCTGCCATCGAGAAGGGAAGCTTTTATGTTTAATGGCTGAAAGCTTAAGAAGATATGCTTTTACAACTGAACTTCATTGCTAGCTAAGCGTCTTGGCAATTTCATTTGATCCTTTTGAGCCAGAATTCATGCAGTGGGTGACCACTAAAAGATGCATTGTTGATGAATTTAATGTTCTTACATTGAAGCCTTTGGGGTGCCTTTCGATGGAAGTTGTATTGGAGCAGTTCCACAAGAAGCCTGTTCCACCGACCGTGAAATATGGACCTCCAAAATGCATGTTTGAATGGTCAGCTGGCAATCAAAATCACCCATAAAAGCTCCATTTTTATGGTATACCTGGAATGAGGTGAATCAGGGCACTCAGAAGGAACCCTGCAAATTTGTATCATGTTCCACGCTTAAACAAGAAAAGAAGACAGACTGCATTTGCTAAGAGAGTATGAAATCCTTGCACTTTGGTGCTTCATATATGTTTGCAAACTCGCAGCCAATTTTATAACCCCATTTAAAAGGGACTCGTAGGGAACAAGATTTGACATTCCTGCGAGGTTATATCTGGTATGCAATCGGGAGAAGGATTTTCCAATGTGATGGTGCAACTTTTAGAGAAAGACCAGTGAGTCTCTTTCATCCATATATATTGTTTATCAAGGTAGAGGAACTTCTGTCCTAGACACCTTTGCGATTTCCTTTCAAGGTTTGAAATATTTTTGGGAAATCAAACTTATTAATCTCTCCTAAGAACATATGGTTGCAAATATGATTCTCATTTTATCCTTGGTTCTTTGCTCGATATGCGCATGTATACTATGCATGGTATTTGATCATCTCAACTTTGATTATTGAAATTCTTCACTACATTGATTTAAGGAAGCTTGGGTTGGTCAACCGTAGTCTCTCATTGAAATTCATAATTTACTGCTTTCACTTGTTCTTCAAATATCATGGTTTAAAAGAGGTCCTCCATCCTTGAGAGTCTTCTTGGGCAAGTTCAATCATTAGAATGACCATCCTGATTGGATGAGACTTCTTTTTTCAAACTCGAACTAGGGAATTGTTGGAAGGGATAGAAAATAATGTATTTGTAACTTATGTTACTACATGATCACTCCACATATGCTTTGGAAAATTTTATCCATTTCGCCAAATTGTGATTGTGTTATGTGTTCCAATATGTGCATGATGGCTTCTTAAAGCATCTTAATGTCTTCCTACATGACAAAATTAAGTATAAAAGAAAAGTTGTTTTTTGTCATTCTGTTTTTTTTCATTGTTTCCTTTCTCAATTGTGCGCTTGTCTCTAAGGGAACTGAAGCTAAGTATTCTCATTTGCTTTAACTTGGGATCATATTTCAGTATTCTGTAGCTAATAAATACATTCTCTGCACATGTTCCTCTTCTTCATCTCCTATTCATTTTTTGGAGTAGTTTTGCAATTCTATATATGTGTTAATTGGAGTATTTTTGTGATAAGATAGTGTTGCACTTTTATAGTCTCCATTAGGAGATTTATTGTTTCATAATAATATTTTGTTGTACTTTTCAGAAGAATAATAATGTATTATCATATATAACATGTGTAATCATCAGTGTTTCAAAAAGCAGACCGCCCAGTGCCTAGGCGGCAAAAGTAGGGGTGGTCCCTGGGCGGCCGCCTAGGTGGTACGGCACCCGCCTAGGAGGCTGCCTAGGCGGTACGGCACCCGCCTAGGTAGGCTCCCAGTGCCCACTCAGGGCCTGTGTCTTATCCAGAGGCAAAAATGGTTTTTTTTTTTTATTCTATTGAGTTTTTTTGAAAACTAAAAGCTTTTAAGGGTGGGTTTTAGGTTAATTTGAAACCTAAACCCACAAGAACCCATTTTAGGGAGAGAAAACCCTCAAATAAACTAGATTTTGTGATTTTCATTAGATCAAAGTGTTTTTCAAAGTTACGAAAAATGGATCCAAACATCCCCCAGGTAGATTAGATTTTGTTTTGGAGTTTTTTAATCCTATTAGAGGGTGTTTTTTAATGTTTTAGCACCAGAAAACATCTCAAAGGTGGAAGTTTGGAGTTCGAGCAATCAAAGTAAGTGCAAAACTTTATTTTTTAGATTGCTTGTTTTATTTTGAGATGTCTTTTTCAGGATCTAGTCAAAGTAGAGATCCGGGTTGGAAATATGGATATAACCCGAATCCCAATGACAAAAATTGCATTAGATGCAATTATTGTGAAAAAGATACAAAAGGGGGAATAAACCTTTTAAGAAACATCTTGCCGGTATTAAGGGGGATGATGCTCCTTGTAAAAATGTTCCTGAAGCTATCAGATAGGAGATTAAGCAATATATGAGTTCTGTAAAACAAAAAAAGAACGAAATCCTTGTCATTTGAATAGATCTATTTCTGGTTCTGCTAGAAGAAGGGATCCGAGTTGGAAGTATGGTCATAACTCAAAACCAAATGAAGAAAATTGTATAAGGTGTAATTGTTGTGAAAAAGATACCAATGGGGGTATTAACCGATTCAAGAAACACCTTACTGGTATTAAAGGGTGGCTTCTTGTAAAAAAGTTCATGAAGCTATTCGGGATGAGATTATACAACTTATGAATTTAGAAGAACCAGAAAAGGATGAAAATGAGCCTTGTTTTATGGAAATATCTTCTCCAGGTTCTTCTAGAAGTGGTGATTCGGGTTGGAAGTATAGTTATAACCCGAATCCGAATGACAAAAATCGTATTAAATGTAATTATTGTGAAAATGATACTAATGGGGGTATTTTTACCAATTCAAAAACACCTTGCCGGTATTAAGGGGTATGTTGTCCCGTGTAATAATGTTCCTGAGGCCACGAAGGAGGAGATTATACAATATTTACGTTCAGAGAAGCACAAAAAGATAGAAAAGGGTAGAGCAGCCAAGACACCTAGGGCCTCATCTATACATATTAAGAGGGAGGTAGAAGAAAAGGAGGAGGAAGATCCAGATTCAGAAGAAACAGAGGAGGACGAGTGTTATATTGAAGAGGGAGATGACTCTGACGATGATGGCCTCGAATCTGCTGCATATGATGATGTTTACCCTACTCTTTCTGATGATGATGATGATGACTGAAAAATGAAGAGTTGAAGACGCTTGAGTGCTTGACTCTTGGTGTTGACTGTTGAGTGTTGAGTGTTGACTATTGTGTCCTAAACTGTATATTTTTTGAATTTCTATATATTTTCTTTTTTTTATTTCTAGTTTCTACTATCTAACTTTGTATGTATCAGACTATCGCTGTATGCTTGTATGGTTTTACTGTTTTAGCATTGTATGAAAATATGGATTATGGTCTAATGGATTATCAAAATTCTCTTCTCGACTTCTCCTCAATTCCTCATTCATGGAAATATTAAATAAGGATTATGGGTAGATTATCAAATTTCTAATATTTGTGGTTATAATATCAAAATTCTCCACATTTGTATCAAAATTCTATCTTTTTTTTTCAACTGAGCGCCCGCCTAAGAGTTGGGCGGCCTGGACCCCCACGGCTGCTTGGGTGCCAGCTAGCGCTTTTTGAAACACTGGTAATCATCATCGTCAAAGCCTTTTTCGGAACTAATTGAGGTCAGCTACACAAATTCTGGTCCACCATTCTGCTTTATTAAGGGCCATACACAAA